AAGCTAGGGTTTCAACCACAATCGACAAAAAATTTCCAAATCAACACCGCCAGTTTGGATCCTCTTCGCAGCCCTCACTTCCATCGTCGCCGGCAATTAGATATCCATAGCTAGCTAGCTATCAGGTTAGGTAACATGCTATTGTCAGGTTCAGGTCTCTGTCTAGGGTTTACCCTCGAAAAAGGTATGGAAAAAAGGGGGTGTGTGAATGGAGGAATAATGTATTTAATTTGCAGGTGTTTTGTTTATCTCTCTTTGTATAGGTAGGAATTTTAGAACAGAGTTTCTGGAAATGGATTACGGTGTGCCTGAGCAGAACGCCGCTGCGTACGGCGAGGATGAGCCGCAGTATGAAGGGCAGTATGAAGCAGACGAGGGAAACTACAATTCAGTTGATAACGTAGATGGTAGTTCAGGCTTAAAGCACGATTCTTCCTCGTCTGCAGGGTTAGTTGTGTTAAGTTTAGCTTGTGTCGGTAGGGTCCATGTTAGATTTGAAATGCTTTGCTTTAGTTTGGGGACGAGGGTTGGGGTTTGAACCTCAAGAAAATAGAGGGGGTGTGTAAAAAATTGTAGTAACTGTTGGTTTTTTGTTGTGATAGAAAACTTTTCGTCGGAGGCATTGCTTGGGAGACTTCAGAAGGTAATGCATTGTGCTTTCATTTGTTCCTTTCTTGCTTGTCAACTGCCCATTTGAGATGTTTGTGAGATGATTTGAACATGTCTTATCTTTTTTCATGGTGAATATGTTTGTATTGCAGCTGCGCAAAGTGTTTTATTTGGCCTATTCTATGTCTTAGATATGATGGTGTTTATAATTAGGGAAAGAGACAACTATGCTTTTTCTGAGTGTTCCAGTTCTTTCACAACGAATTTTTAAAATTGAGACAATCGGTCATGGTAAGTTGGAGGAAATGGTTTGTCTAATCGAGGCATGATTTGGAGTCAAGGATTTCAATGGATGCAGTATTAGATGGATTAGATTGCTAAATGAGTGAAGAAAAATAGCTCAAAATGTTCTGACAATCTTGGAAGTAACCATTATTTGAGTTAATCCCAAAGTTCTTTTAATCTTTTAATATAGACATGAAATGTACCATCCATGCCAAATATGTGAGCTTGTCTATTAATTATAAATGTATATGCATAGGACACAATCTATCGCTTTATCGAAGCTTGAATTGGAAATAGATGATTGTAATCCTTTGCTGTTTATTCTTCAATGTAACACATTTAGAGCATACCTGATTATTACTACCTTACTTGGAGGTTGAAATGGAACTTTACCGTTGTTTATACATGAATGCAATTGTACTTGCTACTTAAGTTACATGGCAGATAATATTTAATGTTGTTCGACAATGTCATTAACATTCTTTTAATTCTATATAACCAGACATCATTTCAAGTGGTATATAAGGAGATTATTATATACTTACATATTTTGGGCCCCATCCATTGCAGAGTCGTTCTGCAGGTACTTCAGGAAGTATGGTGAAATTACAGATTCGGTCATTATGATGGATAAAATCACTGGTAGACCACGAGGTTTCGGATTCATAACATTTGCCGATCCTGAAGTTGCTGATAGGGTTCTACATGAAGAACATGTCATAGATGGCAGAACGGTAGGAAATCTTTGACCTCTCTTTCCGTTATCGTGTTACTATCTGTATATTTCTTCTTATGAAAGAGCATTTAAACTTTTATCACATATCATCATGCCAGTTGACTTTTATTTTTACCTACAAATCAGGTAGAAGTGAAGAGAACAGTTCCCAGAGAGGAGGGTAGGGGAGGAGTATCAAAGACAAAGAAAATCTTTGTGGGTGGTCTTCCATTATCACTAAATGAAGGTTACCCTTTTCTCTGAAGCTATCCATCAATTCTCTATATAACTTATTTTGTTAATCTAATGCTTATATAATCATTTCAACAGATGATCTGAGGGAATATTTCTCTTCATATGGAAACATCGCGGACCTCCAAATTATGCTCGATCACACAACTGGTCGGTCGAGGGGCTTTGGGTTTGTAACTTTTGAGACTGAAGATGCTGTTGACAAGATATTCTCTGACGGTCACATGCATGAAATTGGTGGGAAGCATGTAAGTCTTGTAGACAAATCCCCAACATACTTTTTGTGCCAAAACTCATAACGAAGTAATCTCATCATAAATTGTAAAATCTACAGGTTGAGATAAAGAGGGCCGAGCCGAAGAGATCTGGCTTTGACAATTCATTCGACAATCGGCTTCACCGTGGGGGCAACAGTTCCAAATACTCTGGCAATTTTGCTCGCGGCCCCGAAAGCTTTGGCGGTGCATATGCTGGCAAGATTGGCAGAGGCTATGGTGGTGGCTATGGCAGTTATGGTAATTACGGGGGTTATGGCAACTTTGCCGGAGATTATTCCAGCGGGGCCGCCGGATTTTATGGCGGCGGCGGGTATGGCGGTGGATATGGATACGGATATGGATTTGGTGGTGGGCCAATGTACGGTGGTGGTGGTGGTTATGGAGGTGGCGGTTTTGCAGGCCCCACTGGCTATGGTGGTGCTGGTGGTTATGGTGTAGGTAAAGGGTTTGGTGGGCCCGGTGGTGGATACGATGGCGGGAGAGGGTTTGGAGCTGGTGCCGGAGGCTATGGCCCGGCAAGAGGAGGATATGGTGGTCCTGCCGGAGGCTTTGGCGATGGATATTCCGGTAAAGGGTATGGGAATGGTAATGGGGCAAACGGCAGGTTTCATCCATACCGGAAGTGAAATTCTCGTTTGGACGACCTGTAGACATTAGGAGTTTGATGTGTTTTTATTTGATGTGGTAGTGATTTGTGATTGAGAAAAAAAGGTTCGCTTTCTTCAATGTTTTGGGTATTTAGATTTTAACTGTGATGTGTAGCCACTTATAGGTGGCTGTGAGACTTCGATAGTGGGTGCAAATTGAACCGGAACTCGGCTATTGGGATGTTTTATGATAATGTGATGCTTAACATCTTCTGATACGTTGTGGCTTGTGGTATAATGATCTGTCTTTGAGAAGGTTGAACTTTAAGATGTTTGATTGATGTGCTTGGCATTTCTGTTGTATTACTTGTTCTTTATTTTTCTTTTTTCAATTTATGGGGTAGATTTACGTACAAATGTTACTATTTGATAGATATTGATGATAATATTTGAGCTGAAGTTTGACAGCATTAGCTTTTGAAGAGAGTCTGAAACTTTAGGCTGCCCAGGGAAAATAACTTTTATAATATGTTGTAAGAAGTTAAATAATTTAGAATTAGTAAGAATAATTATCTCTATTCTTTGTATTGGCTAGTTAGAGTGTGGAAGAAAATGTGGATAAACTACATTGTTCTCTAGACTTTAATTATGTCCACGGCATCACAATATTTGTGATCACATAGTGCATTGCAAGATAAAAAGTTGTGACATTACTAAATATGTTGATGTGAAATGTAATTTACTACAACATTTGAGCATTGGAGATGCTCTTAGTTTTTATTTTGTTAACATTGTTGGTGGATTCATTTGTTTGGAGATCTACGTCGTGCCCTTTTTTGGACACTAATCATTCTTAGATGTGGCTGCAGCTAATGTAACTTTACGTATTATCGAGTACAGTTTTGTTATGGAGTCATCTGATGGCACGATTTATAGAGTTATTCACACTTATTCACAAATAGTGTATTGTTACGTGTCCTACAATAAATACACTTGGTACAAGTGTCAATACATTAAGCGATGGATGACGCCATAAGAAAATTATCCATTGCTGTCATAGAATTTCTGACTTCATTTGCCCGACTTTCTCAAAATTACTTTTTGGTCGAGTGCAAAGAAGTTGGTGTATTGGAGGAATGTTTGGATCAATAAGATATCCTTGAACTAATAGAGCCCACAAGAAGAACATCATGGTGGGTTTTGACGACCATCTTAAGTTCTATATAGAGGACTCATTCGCCAAATCACACTATTGTTGATTTGTTGGTATGAGGGCTTTGTCGATACTACACTTGCAACAGGTATTTATGAATCTCCGTTAATTACGTGACATTTTGGTATTCTTTGTTTGAGCAACTATTTTCTAAAAATATAGCGCGCGAGAAATATTAGAACAAAACCAAACACCATTGGGAGCAAAGTAGACATGGCCAAAACATGGGTCAGTCCCAGCCCAGTGGGTTGACGGGTTGGGTTTTATGACCCTAAACCAGCACAAACCTAGGTCGTGTTGGGTTCATGGCCCCACAGGTCAGGTCGGACCTGACCCAGGTCTAGGCCCGCCCAAATTAAAAAAAAGAAAAAAAAAAACTAAAAACAATGCGTGTTTCTCGTGTCGAGCCAGGGTCGACAAAAACAAGGTTGAAATCCGAGCTGAGCTCGAACCCGTGGTCAACGAATTTGACCGGGTTGGCAGGCCGGGTGGCCCGTGGCCACCCCTCAACAAAGAATGCTTTAAGTATAAAATGCAAACATGAACTCGAACAATTAATGTAAGAGAGTTTATTAGGTATGATTGTATGAATTATGAGGTAAATTCGATCCTACCACATGGGTTAGTGCCCCCACCATGAGATTTTAGCTACACAATCACACACAAGCACCCATAAATATGTGTATGAAATATGTGGCTAAAAATCCCATACAGCCACCACCCATGGGGGGATCGAATTTTCCGAATTATGATACCAAAATTGAATTGGGTCCGAATGGACAAAGGATTTCAAATAAATTTTGGCCACGTGGAATGGTGTGTGTACTGTGTAATGATCTCACTCACTCCGTGTCACGCGCCAATTATGGTTGGTCCCAATCCACGCTGGTGTTTGAACACCGACACACAGCTTACAAATTGTTAAAACCTGATTGACTGCCTGTTGTCATGGACAAGAGAATGTTGACTTTGTCAGATTTAGTTTTTATTTTTGTTGACTGACTCACTGTGATTTTTTCAATTTTTTATTATTTTATCATATTTCTCTTAGGAATAGTATAAGTATTATTATTTCATTTTGCTTACTAATATATGGATATGTATTAAATAATGTTTTAAAAATCGGATCCATCCGGTTAAGACATCCGGTTATTTTCCTATTTATATTAAATATATATTTAAAAATATTAGAAATAATTTAAAAAATATATAATAATAAATAACAACCATAACCAATCTAACATGCTTCGATTATTTAGGAGGTGAATGTTTATCAATTCAATTAAAACAACAACCAAAATTTTAATTTAACTCAACTTCAACCCAATTTTACTATCTTTAATATTATCAATATAATTAAATAATATCAATCAATCATTTTTACATATCACATCAACTCACATAATTTTTACTAACCAGCAATTTCAATCCTTTTTCTTCTACTTTTACATCATATCAATTTTAATTATTTTATTTAAAATATTATTTTAATATATTCGCTAACAACTAACTATACCAGGTTTTTTTCAAATTAATTATGGTTTCAAAAACTAATTAAGAACTTGTTGAATTCATAAAGTGTTTAAGGATGTGATTCATAAACTTTTTTTCTCTTGTTGTTCTTTTTCTTGACAGAATTGCTCTGGTCTTTGTGGGAAAAAATGAACAAATTGACAATTAATAAAGAAAAATAACTATTTTACATTATTGGACCCACATACCTCTCTCACATGATCTTGGGCTACGTGAAATACATAAGCTATTTGTTAGTAGCTAGTGACTACTCTCTCTCTTACTTTTCCCCTGTCCACGTCATAATAGTTAGCCAAATAGCTAACCATTGGAGACGCCCTAACGTTGCGGCCAAAAAAAAAAACATGATGTGATCAATTCAATGCCTTGATTAAAGGGGCCAGTTTATTGACCAATGAATCTTATAACAGTAGCTTACTTTAAAATTGAGGACTTGTTTTATGGATTCAATGCCTTGATTAAAGGGGAGCATTTGATGACCAATTAATTTAAACAATATTCACTTATTTTTTAAAATGCAAAAATTGTTTTTGTGGATGCTAAATTGCTAATACTTGCCCTACAATACATTATGATGTCTCCCTCACATGTTGAATATATTGTCCCAAAGGACTCATTTATGGTTCAGTAGTGCAATAACTTGTAAATTTTCTGTAAATTTATATTTACTCAGGGGCGTAGCCCGAAAATTTTTTAACCCGATGTTGCATATAATTGTAGTTATTATTGAAACTTAGTAGACATGGTCATGAGTCAACCCAGCCTGTCGGTTCGCCTGAACCGACACAAATGAGCCTGTTGACCACGGGTCTTGAACCGGCCCGTGATTTTGACCAGTTCAGTTCATGTACAATACTTTATAGTTATACATTTTGAACTTTCGAACTGGATCCGGAACCGAGGTCCAGCCTTTTTTTTTTTAAAAAAAAAAGATATTTTTAATTATTTTTTTATTTTTTAATGAACCGGACAACCAATAATCGACAATTCAATGAATTGATCCGTACATATGTTCGCGTCGGTTAAGGGTCCTCCAACTCTCGGCCCGGTATCGGCGGTTTCGACTTGTAAACTATTTTGGTCATGATTATATCTAAAAGTTAACATATGTCGATTTGAATTGAGAAAACTCAATCTCGAATCGCTTATATATTTAAATAAGCCAAAGTTAAATAGCTAACGAACTTGTTGATCAAACAAATAGAGTCGAACAAGTTTGCAACTAACTATGTATGAGTCTTCTCTTTGTTTAGGAAATGATGTCGAACTAATTATTGGAGGCGAAATCAACAATAAATAAATAAATGAAAATAGATAGCGGACTGTGGAATGTGACGAACCCAATTAAATAGCCCGTTGAAAAAGTTTGTGTCAAGCTTAATGGCCTGAGCAGACTGGAGAATTTTGAACCGTTCCGAAATCGAATCGAAATTACTCCGAACCAAAAAATAACCGTTGACCGTTTGACTTTCTCCGAACCGAACCGAACCGGAAATATTATTGCACAAATATCTGTACCAAGAACAGAACTGAACCGCCTCATACCATACCGAACTGAAGAACCGAAACTAAGAACCAAATTATAAAACAGATGTGTGTTATTAATATATATTATGTCAACCTTGATTCTATATCATTTGAGAATTTTATAGATGCAGATAAAATATAGTAATAACAATTAATCTTCGCTTCAATTTAATTCTTAGTAATACTTGATCTACAACTGAATTTTCTCTATTTAAAAAAAAATATTTAAAATAGAAAGAAAAGTTAAAGAAATATTTTTTGAAAACAATATTTAAACTTTACTTAAATTTGTCTATACTTAGTCTTATTATATCTTATAACTAACATGGTATGGAAAGTTAAAAAATATTATTTTAGTAAAAAGTATATTATATTTTGTTTGAATTTTAAATTTTCAATGTTAGTTGCACAAATTTAGGCTTAACTAAAATTTTGGAGTCATGTTTAAAGTTGATTTAAAAATAAAATCTATAGTATGATGAAGTATTGATGAATGTCTAGGTGGTCATTCAAAAAAATAAAAAAATAAAATAATTAGAAATCTTTGAATATCTGAACCGAGCCAAACCGCAAAGAACCTTACGTGGTATGAAAACAATGGGGACTACCTCCGTTATTGTGCGACTGCACTAATTCTTTCTTTGAAGTGAAATGCTCCAACGCACCGAACCGTTCCAATAGTCCTGAATTTCGAATCGAACCGAAGCGAACCGAAAAATAAAAATCTCCGAACCCAACTGAACCGATTTTTAAGTACGGTTCCGGAGATCGAATTTTAATGATCTCTGAATATCGGTACTGTTCGGAGATTGACAGATTTGTAAGATAAGAAGTTTGGCTTTTTTATTGTCAAAATTCAAGAGCATGTTTGTTTATGAAATTTTTTTGTTTTGTTTGGGATTTTGGTTTGGTTTAGTTAATTTTGAAAAATGTGGTATGTTAGTTGTTAGTTGGTATTGTTGACATCCGGATCGGTCAGGCCAAGATCGAGTAAGTCGGCCCCCCCCGAACCGAGCGGGACCGAACTCGCGGGGGCCGACCCGAATCGATAAATAATGTGTAGGGCGGGTCGAAGGAAACGCTTCCCGAGCTCGGCACCTGAACCCTTGGGGGCCGAGCCGGTCTCTCCCCGGGGCCGAGCTGGAAGGAAGTTCGCCTGGGACACGCGTGCTTTCGGAGAGAAAGAGCCGACCTAAACAGGCCAGAGCCGCCCTGCTAAAGAATAGCGCCGATCTGATCGTCATTAAATATTCGCCACTTGGGAGATCATTATTCGTTGATGGGACAGCATGTCACAGTCGTTCAGTCAGCATTAAATGCTGCCCATGCCTGCATTTAATGCTTAGCAAGCAATGATTGGGAAAACCTCAAATCGCATTAATGAACTGTCAGGGAGGCGCCGAACTGCTCTGCAAGTCTACTGTACGACAAGACCGGTGAACAGTTCCTCATTTAAGAGTACTATAAATAGCAGCCCACCTCATTTATTTTGGGGTTGTTGAATTCACAACTAACTCAAGCTTTCCTTTACTTTCTCTCTCTAGTATTGTAAAGATTGTAAGAACTATAAGAATATCACAGGAGCCGACCTCGTACGAGAGGCCGACCACGTGATCGTTTAATAAAAACCTATAATTAAAACTTATCCTGGCCTCATTCTCAGTCCTGTACTTTTCATTCACTTAATCTTAACCGTTGACCGAAAACACTCGTCAACAGGTATATTAAAATAATATTTAAAATAAAATAATTAAAATGATTTGATGTAAAAGTAGGAGAGAAATAGTTTGATGTGATAGTTAGTTAAAATAATGCGAGTTGATGAATAGTGAATTACGGTTGATGTGGTGTGTATTAATGATTGATTGATATTATTTAATTATATTGAATAGTGAGGTTGAGTTAAAAAAAGTGATTGAGTTAAAATGTTAAAATTTATTTAAAAAAATTTCCATACACAAACATGCTCCAAATGTTCAATTAAATCACATTATCATGATTTAATTTGCAATTTTGTAAGTTGTAATAAAATCACAAATTCTAATCACTCTCTCCCACACACACCCACACACACCGTGTGTAAAGTTCCCATATTTTTCCAATATCCCTAATCTACCCCTACTCTTTCTTCTTCAATCATCATTTCTCCGTCAGATTCCACTTCCTCTCCTTTTTTTCCTTTTAACCTTCTCTCTGAAAATGACAACTCCAGCGTTGAAGAACAATTTGTTGCCTCCTGGGCTCGTCTCCAATCTCCAACAGGTCCTCTCAAACCGCAAACCCGCCGCCGCCGCCGGCGACAACGACGAAGACGGCGCTAAGCCGAAGCCCGATAAAGTAGACACCGACTCGGCCCCGCCGCCGTCGTCGGGGGTCGATCCCGGCGACGAGAATGATTCAAGACCGATAATTTTGGTCACGAGCAGTGATGGGATTGAGTCGCCTGGGCTTTCGTGCCTGGTTGATGCCCTCGTTCGTGAAGGCGCTTACAGTGTCCACGTCGTTGCACCTCAATCGTAATGATTTTTTTTGCCTTTCGTCTTTATTTATTTATTTACTTTTGTGCTGGGCAGTCATTTGAATTGTCATTCATGTGCCTATCAGCTGCAATGCTTTTTCCTCTACAGATCTATTGTGAATTTTCTGTGTTTTTGTAGCTGCTTTGTTGGATTTGCTGTTTGTTGAATTTGTTAATTTTTGTGTCGGATTTTGAGTTTTGAGGCTGCCGGGAACTCCAGATTGGCACCTCTAAAATTCAATGTTCATATATTTTTAAAGTTCTAACGAAGATTACACAATGTGTTGGGCACAAGCTCACTAATGAATTTTCGCAAGGTATGTTTTAATGTATGAAAGGGAAAGTAATGTTGCCAAAATTTGTGGGCCTTAGGTGATTGCTCAATGAAATTTACATCAGAATCTTGCCTCGTGTTCCGATATGAGTTTTGTGGATTTTTTCTTCTATTTTGGATCTCAATTCTGGCATTATGCACTTGTGGCGATTCTTTTCTGTTGTCACGAGCTTTGCTGATTAGCTATTGATTCGGACATGGCAGGGATAAGTCTACTTCCGGGCATTCAGTGTCGTTAAAGGAAACAGTCGAGGTTGTTTCAGCTGAATATAATGGTGCCATTGCTTATGAAATATCTGGTATATTTCTTGAATTTGCTTTCGTTGTACAGTTTGTATTTGCTAACTGTGAAATTGTAATGATATGGTGTTTGATGAAGCAAATGTTGTGCTTATGTAACTTTCAGGAACTCCTGCAGACTGTGTGTCATTAGCACTGTCTGGTGCACTGTTTTCATGGTCGAAGCCTCTATTGGTATGCTTTATAATGTATCCGAGTAGTGGATGTTTTTGCCTTTGATATTTTCTTACTATCTCTTATCTCCTTTACTTTTGTATATTCTTTCGCTGGATGTATAGGTAATAAGTGGTGTCAACAAAGGCTCAAGCTGTGGCTACCATATGTAAGTTTCTTTTCTCGTTCTGTTACCTCTGAACTTAATCATTATTGGTGTCAAATAATTCAATAAGAGCACTATACTTACGAGGTGGATGAATCTAGATTTTATTCAGGTGTTGTTGCTGGAGCTAGGGAAGCCCTTATAAATGGCGTGCCATCTATAGCAATATCACTAGACTGGTCTGTCTTTTTTTTTTTTTTTTTTTTTTTTTTTTTTAATTTTTATATAAGGAGTACCTTAACAAACACAATATATAATACAACTGCATGATTGATAGCCTGCTATCTAATCTTTTATTGCAGGAAAAAGGATGTGAGTCCAGAAAGTGACTTTAAGGATGCTGTGACTGTGTGCTTACCAATCATAAATGCAGCCATACGAGATATCGAGAAGGGTTCTTTCCCCAAAGGTTTCTCGTTGGATATAGAAGTCCCAGGATCGCCCTTAACAAACAAGGTTCGTGTATTTCTTTTTTCTTTTTCTTCCCCTTTCTTTTTCGACAAGTATATCATTGGATGCAATGTGTTTATTCCACGAGTATGAAATCACAAACCCATGTTTACTATGGGGTGATATATGTTTATGAACATAATTATTGGACTCACTCATGCATAGGATTTGGTGTTAAGACTACATATCAGCCATTTTCGAGACGGTGGATTAATTGAAGTTAGTTGTACATACATGAGTTAGTGACTTAGTGTGCAGTAATGTGGTTGCTTAATTATTTAAAGAATGTGCTAGAGTTATCTTGAATGTTGGTAGTTTTCTATAAATCAACTAGCTTTAGATTGTTTCGAAATGGCTTTGATGCTCTTAAACTTGCCTTTTCTTTATTTTCTGAAGTTGAGTAACTATAGTTATATGTCTACATTGATGATAGCCTATTAGATCTTTTTATGTATTGTCTGCAATATTTATACTTTGACAGGGGTTAAAGGTTACAAAGAGTAGCTGCTGGAGGTCCACGCTTAGCTGGCAAGCCATTTCGAGCACTAGGAATCTTGCTGCTGCACGTTTTGGGGGCGGCCAGCCTGGCATTGGTATGCAGTTCGCGCAGCTCGGTCGTGATGCATCTGCTGCTGTGTGTAACCAGAAATAGTTCACCTTAATTTATTTGTTTATAATTTGTATGATTTGGCAGAAAAAGATTGTTTGCTCAGATTTTATCTTGTTCGAAGCAGATTTTTATTTGCACATTTTAACTTCAGGGTGCTGCTCGGCGTTTGGCCACTCAAAAGAAGAATATTGAGGTTGTTGAATCAGTTGGTGCTGTTGGAAAATCTGATTTTAAAAAGACAACCAAGTATTTCCGTGCAGAGGTAAGTATTTTGGGAATAAATACTGTTTGCTCATTCTTTGACCACAAATATTATGTAGGCGGAAATATATTTTTAGTCCTATTGGTTTAACTTTTCGCCTTTTTGGTCATGTGATTTAACATTTTGTTGCAATTTCAGTTCAGTCTTTTGAGGACCAAAATTACAACAAAATTTTAGACTACTGAACTGAAATTGCATCAGAATTTTATAATATAGGACTTAAATTGCTAATAAAAAAATCTGTTAATTTGAGAATTTGTTGCAATTTCAGTCCTTAAAAGACTTTAATTGCAACAAAATATTAAATCACATGACTAAAAGGCAAATTTTTAGACTCAAGGGACTAAAATTGCTATGTCGCTAAACCAGCAGGACTTAAATCCAATTTAGCATATTATTTCTAATCCTTTTGTAACTCGACTTTCAACTTGCTCAAACTGTCATGTCAAACGTAAATACATTATTTTTTCTTTTTCATTTTACCCTCTTGGTCTCATTTTGTCTTATCATTCAATTCGGAAAGTATATCCTTCATTCATTTTTCTCTGTTATCACATTACAACAATCACTTGGTTGGTCTCTATGAATAAGCTATAACCGGACGAGTTAATTGGTCAGATGCTTGACAAGGAACAAGATGAAGATGACGAAGATCTTGATTTCAGAGCTCTCAAAAATGGCTTTGTAAGTTTCTTACACAAATTTCCCTCTTTTTTTTTTCTTTCCCTTTACACAGCTAATAACATTGCATCTGATGATTGTTGCATATGTAAACAGGTCGCCATTACTCCATTCTCACCCTTCGTGCATTTAGATTCAGAGACACAAACTGCAGCTTCGAATTGGATTTCGACTGTTCTTTCAACTGAAACTTAAAGAGCAAAAATGCTTCAGATATAACGAGTAATTAATGTGTACATTATTAAATTTGATGCTGCAAAAAGCTTAGTGATCCTCAGACACATTTTTTTTTTTTTTTGTTGCTGCTAAGAACCATGAGGCCGTGTTTTTTTAGATATATTTTTCCCGAAATTCTTACTATTTAGATTTTACTTGAATTTTTACTGTGTGATGGAAGCAAGTGCTTCGCGTGGCCAGTGGCCTGTTAATTTATGTTTTGGGCAATGGGAAGATTGCCTTTCTAATTGCTGAAATGAATAGTTTTTTTTTTTTTTTT